TTCTTTGCCATCCATCCTGAAGCTACCGATTGGTCCGGTGGTGAGAATCTTTGTCTTCTTGACATTGAGCCTCAGTCCATACTGAAGGCTGCAGTCCTTGACCCTCTGCAGTAAGTGCATGAGGTTCTCCTCAGTTTCAGCGAGCAGGGTTGTGCCATCTGCATAATGCAGATTGTTGATAGATCTTCCACCAATCCTGACGCCACGCCTTCTCCTCCTAGAGCCCAGCCTCTCGGATAATCTGTTCTGCATACAGGTTGAAAAAGTATGGAGATAGGACACATCCCTGGCGTACACCCTTCCCAATTTTAAACCATGTAGTGTTGCCCTGCTCTGTTCTGACGACTGCCTCTTGGATTAAATGTTCTGGGATTCCCATTCTTCTCAGAGTCAGCCACAGTTTGTTATGATCCACACAGTCAAATGCCTTTGCATAATCAATGAAACACAGATAGACATTCTGCTAGTATTCTCTGCTTTCAGCTAAGATCCATCTGACATCAGCTACAATATCTCTAGTACCATGAACCCTTCTAAACCCAGCCTGGACTTCTGGCAGTTCTCTGCTGATGTACTGTTCCAGTCATTTTTGGATAATCTTCAGTAGAATCTTGCTTGCATGTGAAATCAATCATAGTGTTCTGTAGTTTCCATACTCAGTTGGGTCACCCTTCTTTGGAATGGGAACAAATATAGATCTCTTCCAGTCAGTTGGCCAAGTGGTTGTTCTCCAGATTTCTTGGCACAACTTGGTGAGCATATCCAGGACAGCATCTGTTAGCTGAAATATGTCAATTGGTATACCATCTATTCCTGGGGCCTTATTTTTTTGCTATTTCCTTCAAAGCAGCTTGAACTTCTTCCTTCATCACCATAGGTTCTTGCTCAAATGTTATTTCATTAAAATCTTCTGTATCTGCCATTTCCTTTTGATACAATGACTCAGTATATTCCTTCCATCTTCTTTTGATACCTCCTGGATATCCCATAGTCTGCAAAAAGAACAAATGTTTTGATAAAGTGCAGCCAGGATGCTCCTTAGAGGAAAGGATAGTGAAACTTTGTCTTGCATACTTTGGGCATGTTGTTAGGAGGGCCTAGTCCTTGAAGAAAGCCATTATGCTCTGAAAAGTGGAGGGTTAGCTATGGAGGAGAAGACTCTCAGCAAGATGGATTGGCACAGTGGTTGTAACGATGGCTTTTAGTGTGCCAGAGGTGATGATGAGGATAGGGCAAGTGTCAGAACTGATATTCAGTGTCACTCTGAGTCATACTTGACTCTACAGCACCTAACAGTAACAATAACAACTCTTGATATTATAACAACTAGAGGTACAACAAAATGAAAACCCTGTCCTTGATAGGTCCTGGTATTCATTCACAAATTTGATTCTCTTAAGTTATAAGCCAATTCCCCCACCCCTCCCAGTCTTCCTGTTGTCCTCCAGGACAGGGTAAAATGCTAAGTAGAGAAAATTAAAGAATCTTTTTTTTTTTTTTATGCGTGTACCGTCAAATTGGATCTGACTGGTACAGGAGGCGACTGTTCCTCCTTCTTCAGCAGAGCATCTGGTGGATTTGAACCGTGCACTTCTGGGATTGCAGTGCAGTTTCCTGCCACTAGGCCACCAGAGCTCGCCTAAAGAATCTTTTAAAATCTTTGTACATCATTCATTTAGTAACTTCTAATGGTATATGGTTTTCCAAAATAAATACTTTGCCCAAATTTTGTAAATGTCCAATTTGTATAAAGTTTCAGAGCAGTTAGTTTATGAACAAGAATTGCCTGCCTAGACCTCCTGGTCTACCATAATCTATTATTTGCAAAAAAGAAAAGCTAAAATGATATAGTTTTATTAATCCTATAGCTCTAGATTATGACCTCCTTGAGTTTCGGAACTAGTATGTCTAATGTCCTTTGCTGAATAAATACACTTTTAGCAAGTCTAGTCTCTCTGGAGACTAAGGTGCGCCTGATACAAGCCATGGTCTTTGCAATCGCTTGTTATGCATCAGAGAGTTGGACAATGACTAGGGAGGACAGAAGGAGAGTGGATGCTTTTGAGCTGTGGTGCTGGAGAAGGGTACTGAATGTACCATGGACTGCCAGGAAAACAAACAGATTCATCTTGGAGAGGATTAAACCAAGCTACTCCTTGGAGGCAAGGATTCTGGGGCTTTGTCTGACATACTTTGGACATGTTGCCAGGAGGGACGGGTCCTTGGAGAGGGACATCATGCTTGGGAGGGTGGAGGGACAGCGCAGGAGGGGAAGACCCTCTATGAGATGGATCGATTCAGTGACTGGGGTAATCGGGATGGGTGTGTCAGAGGCAGTGCGGTTGGCGCAGGATAGAGCAGGGTTTAGGGCTGTTGTGCATAGGGTCGCTATGAGTCGGAAACAACTCGACGGCACATAACAACAACAACAGTCCAATTACAGACTTACTTTGACATTTATAGATCAAAATTATTTTATAACGTTGTTGAAAGCTTTTCCAAAAAACTGTTCTGAATATTGCGCTCATAAAACTCAGAACTATGACTAATTCTTTCCCCACTCACAATCTTTAAATCTTAGCACAATTATTATAAACACTTGGAGGAGCTTTGAAATACCAATATTTTTACCTTATCCCAAATAAATCAGAACTTTTGAGACAACTTCAGTTTTCCATCTGTCATTTTAAATTAAGCCCCCCCCCCAGTACTCTCTAGGCACTTATTCACCCTCACTATTCACTGTAAGCTGTCACTAATGTGAATACATGTCCAGTTAAGCATCAGCCCCTTTTTCTGTGCCTTTGCATACCCCACCCTATACGTGGTAGAATCCTTTGAATTACTTTCTTCAGTCTTTTACCAAGGTGGAAGTTTTATCGTGTATTGAGGGGACTTCAGAAAAAAAAAAAATTACCAGGCTTAAAAAAAAAAAATAATTAATCCAAAAAACGGCTACTACTGATGGTTGTGATATCCCTGTTAGAATGATGAAAGTCGATAGCTAAAAGTCAAACTCAGGTCTATGGAATAGTATAGCCAGCCTAGTGGCAAGAGGTTGCACTGCAGTCCTGAAGACAGTTCTAGGCCACCAGCTGCTTTGAGGGAGGATGGGCACTCCTATCATGCTTCTGAAAAGCCACCAGAGGTTCAGGTATGGGTTGATTCCGATTCTACGGTATACAAAAACAATAACAACTTGGAATACCCAAACCACACAATACTTCCTTGGAAGTTCTGTTAGACATTGTTACAGCTTAATGACGATAGCCATTCTTCAAGTTGTTGTCAGGAGCCATGAGTCGAATACAATCCTATGAACAAAAGATATGAATCACCCTGTTGTTCTATCTTGCACCATCCTCACACTTACTGACACACAAGAGCCCACTGCGGCAGTCGCCATTTCAATCCACCTGGTTGAGGGCCTGCCTCTCCTTCTCCGAACCCTCCACCCATCCAGCAACATGTCCTTCTCCAAGGAATATCCCCTCCTAGCAACATGCCCAAAGTATATGAGGCAAAGCCTCGCATTCCGGCTGCACCCTCTCCAAGACATCAGTTTGTTCTTTAGGCCATTCAGTGCTCTTCTCCAACATCATTCTTTAGGTACCTGGTGCTAACCCAAAGGTAGATGGTTCAAACCCCACAAGCCATTCCATGGAGGAAAGATGTGGCATTATACGAAAACTGCACAGCATTAGAAAACCTAGGATAAAGTTCGGTTGTTGTTGATTGCCGTCGAGCCGAGCACGACTCACAGCGACCCGAAAAACAAAAGGCCTAAAGCTTTTCTATAACTACCGTCATTTTTCAAAGTTCATAGAGTTTCCAGAGGCATGCTGTTTAGGATATAGACGCCACTCTGCTTCTACTCTTGACCTATAAAGTCTCCATGAACTGGAAGTGACTTTCTGCATAGGTTTGACCTTTTGTCTTCCTCCTCGGTTCTTAGGCCTGGGGACATCCACGAAGCACTGACAGGTTTGCCTCTCCCTAAAGAACTTGTAGATACTTTAAGCTGCTGTCGAACTGCAGATGCTCTCTATTCCTCGCAAAATGAACAATGTAAAGAGGGTCCCCAAGATGGAGCGAAGACGAACCCACCAACCCCCAACAGAACCCCAAGAAAACTTCCATTGGAGCGTGCCTCCAGGAACCTCTTCCGCTTCTTCTAACTTTCCTTCCGGGTCGGAGAGCGAGCGACCCCAGATCCGGTCATGCGTACTATGGTTTGAGCGCTCTGTCGCTCCGTTGCTATGGTAGCGGGTGGCTAGGGGCTGTCTGGGTTGGTGTCCAGTACCCTTGTCCGGACGTCGCTGAGCCTGGCCAGGAGGACTATAGAATGGGCTGAGGTACAGATCAACTGGCCGGCGGGGTGAGGGGCACGACTCAAGCCCAGGAGCTTTAGACGTCGGACTTGAGGAACGGGCAGGACCTGATATGTGGGCAACCATAGCGGTGCAGAGGCCCAGTACTTGATGAAATAATGACAGGAAGTGTGATTACTTCAGGGTTGATGGATGAGGGATACGTAGTGAGGGAGCCTCAAGGTTGGTGGGAATGACTGAGGGAACCTTTATGATCTGGTAAGGACTTAGTTGTTAGGAGCGATTCCACTACGACTCCCGGAACTGTACAACCGATCCGAACCTTGCTCTGTCCTGTGCTATCCTTATCATCTCTGCTGTACCCGAGCCCATTGTTACAGGCACTGGGTCAATCCATCTCTTCGAGGGTCTTCTCTTTCTCTGACCCTCCACCTTTCCAAGCACGTTTTCTCCTAATCACTGGCCCCTTATGCCCAAAGTATGGAAGATGGAGTTTGACCCTCCTTGTCTCACAGAAACACCGCACAGAGGGACAGGCGTCTGTGGGAAATGTTCTTCCCAGCCCCTACACCTTGTTAACTGTATTACCTAGCTTGAATAAGAAAACTGTCATTGTTTCATATCTCTCCCCACCCCCTTTATTTCTATGAAGAAGAAGCCAGACTGGAAAATGGAGATGTATGAAACCCTTGGAAAAGTGGGAGAGGGAAGTTACGGCACAGTCATGAAGTGTAAACATAAGGTTACCGGGCAGATAGTGGCCATTAAGATATTTTATGAGAAACCAGAAAAATCTGTCAACAAAATTGCAACGAGAGAAATAAAGTTCCTAAAGGTTTGCTGCTTTTGCCTCTTTTCTAAATCAAGAGATGTTATTAAAGGAATAAAAAAATTGGGGAAATAGTTCAATTATATTAAGACATATAAAAAAAATGTGATACCCTTAACTTATGTTTGGTAATTTTATAGTGATATAAGATGAGTGTGCTTGTGTCTAATTTAGAAAAACCTATGCCAAACGTTAATAATCATTCAGAAATATTCTAGTCAATATGCTCATTGAATAAAAGTGCTTTGAACAAGGCATTGCAGTAGATGCTGGGACTCTATATCTAAATTGTGTGCCCTGTAAGTGAAAATCTATTTAGAAGACCGTTTTCAGAGAATATTTTTTTTCTTATTCAGATTTATTGTATTTCATCTGATTACTTTTTTCTGTGCAACAATTTTATAAAAACTGTGTGGTTAAAAAAATAATAGCATGTCGTAAGAAGACCAAGATGTATTTGGAAAGGTATTTTACTGTTACAATGAAAACCTGTAAGAGCTAAAAAAAACCCCCAAACCCACACCTGTATGAGCTGCAATGTCAAAGGACTTTCTTGTTTTCCTCAGTTTGTAAGTTTTTCACCTTTGATGACACAGTATGCAACCAGCTATAACTATTTACATATTTAATATTTGCATTTTCCTTCTTTTGATAAGTTTTCACCTTATACGTGCTCTAGTTTTCACAGTTTCTCTTGTGTGATAATTATGCAAATTTTATTTTGTCTAATTCTACTGGAATGATCACTTGAATTAGTTAACATTTTTAATCAAAATGATTCTTATAACTTATACTGAACTAAATTTCTAGCTCTGTCAAAACATCATTAAATAAGTTAATTAGAATAACTAATGAGAATACCAATAGAAAAGCTGTACAGTAATGGAGAAAAAGGAAATTATACCACTTGCAGAGGGATAATGTACCATTTTCAAGAGTTTTGTCATTTCTCTGACAAAGTATCTACCTTCTTTCACATGATCTCTGCTAGTTTATTACTACATTAACCCTGTACTGCTTTCATAGTCTTTGCCTTTCAAGTTGAAGACAAGATTGGATAACAGTAAATCTCCTTACTTGAAGGAGTATCTCTTAATAACATACTGAGTATTGTTATAGTATGCTTGTTTTAATAAGCAATCAAATATCAACATAAGATAAAGCTATATATCTCACTCTTTAAATACTGATCATGAAATGGATTAAAATTTCCTTAAAATAAGAATGCTAGCAAGTTAAAATTTTGATTGAATCGCATGGAAAAAAAATAAGCTGGGAGTATTTACTTTTAAAAATTGCATTACTACTACATGTTTAAGCTATTGTACATGAAATAATTTATTAAAAGTGTCTTTCTTTTGTCATTAGCAATTTCGTCATGAAAACCTGGTCAATCTGATTGAAGTCTTTAGGCAGAAAAAGAAAATTCATTTGGTGTTTGAATTTATTGACCACACAATACTAGATGAATTGCAACATTATTGTCATGGATTAGAGAGTAGAAGACTTAGAAAATACCTCTTCCAGATTCTTCGAGCAATTGATTATCTTCACAATAATAATGTAAGTGCTTCAGAACAAGTCAACATGTAGAATCAGTATGAGTGATAAGTGTCCTTTAAACAATGTTACATTTTTTATGAAGACTGTTAAAATTATTTTTCTGTGTACTGTTTATTAATTGATATCTTAAAATAGAGGTGGAAGGTAAGCTACAAATAAATGGAAAGAAATTTTGCCATTACTGACCTTCCAGTTCAGAGTCAAGGAACATTTATTGAACTCACAAAAATTTTACCTATTTTGGCAGACAAAACATGTGATACTAAAGGGAGGTACCAATAGTCATTTGGAGCACAGTACATCAAGATGTTAAAAGCCAGTTCCATGGCTTGATGGAGACTTGACGAAATAGAGGGAAGTTTGAAGATAGAAACTAGTAATTTAAGGGGAGCTC